GTTGCTAAGCAGCCCCTTGAGTATATAAGGACCCCCTTAGGCGCCCCCTAGTCCCCATCTCGACCTCTTGGTCATTGGGACTAGGTGAGTGACCATAGCGTTGTATCTCCCTCCGATTGCTAATGTATAACTTGGTCATTGGGACTAGTCTGTCGCTGCCTGCGTGAAGACTAGCTTTCGTAGGTCTCGTGCCTTCGTGCCGACCTCCGCTCTGCCCTCGTCGAGTTTTCTGTCACGTTTATCCCTCTCCCTCTCTCTTTCCCCTTTCGGCTCCTTGCCGCTCGCCTACGGGGTCGTCGCCGAACGTCGACCCGAGTCTACGCGCCTAGTCGCCGCGACACCCTTTGACAAAGAACGATTCGAGGCGGTGCCCGTAGTGAGAGCTCCCCTGCGGCTGAGCCTGCTCGCTGGGCCACTGGCATTTCCAAGAGTGAGTATGCCATGGGCCCAGTAAACTTGCGCATAAGTGCTTGTAGTCATACAGTGTGCACAGTGCACAGAGATAGTTTGCATGAGGGCAACAGTCACTGCACGAGATCATATCAAACGAGCCCTTGCCAATGAATACATGACTTGCAATGCTGTGGGTGGCCAGCCTCGAGTCACTCCTAAATGCTTGAGAGTTGGACATGCATATGGTTGATGAAACATGTCGAGAACACGTTGAAGCTACTGCACTGACTCAGGCATGATCATGTATATGCGACTGCACCTTTACTATGGTACCTCCTGTTTAGATCAGGGTACAGGATCCCCTGGGGGGCCAATGGGCACTCAAATACAGACATGGAAGTACCGCACGCATATCCATACTTCAAAACATTGTGGATTTACCTGGGTACGCGTGTGGTCAACCAACGGGGCCGTGATGCGCTGTCATGGAGTAGTCCCTGTGACCGTGATATGGCCTGTTTAGGCAGGTCGGCTAGGGTAGACGCCGGAGAGAAAAAAATCCGCGCGTTCACGGACTTATGCAAGGCGCTGTAACTTGAACAGCTGAAATTCCCTCCATTTTTCCCACAAGTATAGGATGATTTTCACAGAAAGATACCTTACGTTTCTTCTCATACAACAGAATAACTTTTGAGTGCCACTCGCCAGAATGGAGAAAGGGGCGCAAAGAATAGCTTTCGCAAAGGTTTTCTAGCGCTCGGTCTGTGAAAGTTGACCTTTCCCGGACATTTTCTCTGACGGGGCGAGGGTGCGGGAAAGGTGTAGGGCCTGTTCGGCAAAGAGTTGGAGTTAGAGTTACCGGCATTTCATGCCCAAATATAGTAATAATATCTCGGTTTTCAATCTCGAGAAAACTCGAGTTACTCGGGCGAGTGCATGCGTTCGGATGCCTCCCAGTAACTCCGGGCGGTTGTTATCAGCTCAGGTCATAAATTATCTCGAGGCTCTACCCTTTTGGCAGCCTGCTTGATTCTCTCTCTATAGAGTATTGGGATGGCTACCATGACCGGCGTAGATTGTGATCAGACATCCGAGACCATCCTACTTGAGGGATTAGGGCAGGCTACTACCAAGGCCCGCCCAGTCAAAACAATGACAGTTACTGCTATAATAGCCTGTCTTCGGCGCTCTATTTGAGCCTGATGGATAGCTTGGTGAATTTAGACAGCTGCTCTTGTGTGGACCATGGTGAAGCAGGGATGAAGCAGAGCCCATCTGATAAGCCATAGCTATT